TGTGGAGCGCATGGCAGAAATCCAGTCTTGAGGTCACAAGGGCGCGAGTGACTGTTGTGAGAGCCTCCCGGTTCAGGTAGGAATGCAATTGGTGTACCAGGCGAACCTGGGCAAATGCCCCCCTGGTCACAGCCGACAAATGATCTAAAGTCAGCTGTGGATCCAGGAGGACTCCCAAATTACGAACCCTATCTGAGGGGCGTATAATTTCACCCCCCCAGCCTGAGAGTTGGAGAACATAGCCAATTTTTGGGAGGAAAAAACACAAGCCACTCGGTCTTGTCAGGGTTGAGAGCCAGTTTGTTGACTCCCATCCAGACCCTGACAGCCTCCAAATCCAGTTTAAACATCTGGCTGATTCTATTTCATTGAAGGCATTTAAAGGGAAAATATTTGTTATAAGAAATACATTTGTGTCAGTAGTAGGTTGCAATTTATTTTACTACCCCTTCGCTTGCACATGCTCCTGCAATGCTTCTGCGCATGCACAGAAGTGTCTGGGCAGGTGGGCGGAGCCTCCCGCCACAGCCAATACCGGTTCACCCGATCTGGGACAAACAGGTAGCAAACCACCTCTGATTTGTATACTTGAAAAAAATTGATATTTTAAGGTCCCTTCCAACTCACTATTTTAAGATTATAAGCGCATGATATTTTTTGTTCAGCGATCCTGTATCTTTTTGGTTTTGTTTTGTTTTCAGTCTACTAAGATCAAGACTATTAAGTGACTATAAAGTTTACTAGGGCTACTCAAACTTTTACATACTTATATTTTCCCCCATTTCTCTGTTACTTAAGTTAACAATCTGGAATACATTTATTTATGAGTCAGCCCTGCAGAGCTTGTAAAAATTTATTTCTAAATAGAAAAGAATCACATGATTTCTTCCCTTGTTTTAATTTTTTAAAATCTAAATCCTCTCCCTTCATTCAGAGACAGAATCCTGATAATCTTGGGCAGCGTTTTCTTATTTTACATTTAGAACATCAAATACACTCCACATTTCTTAATTGACATCTAGTTTGTTAAAATGAAAAGGATCAATCAAAATTTGAATGCTTACCTTTCTAATTCTCTTAGATGGTGACCCTCTAAAATGCATTGAGAAGCTTCTCTGGGAGTGGCTGGAATTTCTGATGAATGACTAAAACAGAGAATAGAAGCTGGTTTGTAAAGAGATTCCAGGTTTGCTCAAGCAACAAACAGTCTCATTGTGTCATCTCATTTGTTCTTCCCTGCTGTCTCAACACAGAACTCTCAAATTCCAATTGGATAAGAAATACCCAAAGATTGAAGGAGTACACCAGCTCCCAATAGTCCCAGCCATTATGTCTAATGTAAAGGAATCCTGGGAGTTTGGACAGCTTCTCAGAGTCACAAATCTCTGGTTATTTTTATTTATATAGTATGTAGCCCCCTTAGGAAAATGTGTAGGAATTCTGTAATAAGTAGTGTGGAATTAGCTACACTTATTTGCTTACTTCTAGCCCACTTTTAGAACTTCTAGGGCTCTTTAAGAGGAACTTTTTTAAAGAAAAAGAAGCAAAATTGGTGTCAACCTCAGAAAAGCTTATCTATTTTATTTACCTATTCCCCCAACTCAGTGGTGGGTTGCAGACGGTACACCTCGGTATGCGCGTACCACAGCCAGCCCAGAGCACCAGATACCATTCCAGTACGGTGCTCCAGAAGGCCCACCTGCCCGCCCGAGCTCCTTACTGGAGTTTAAAGGCTTTTGCACTTCTGCGCAGGTGCATGGTGCGTACAGCGCCTGCGCGACACTCCGCAGAGCAGCTGGAGCATCATGGAGGCACTTGAACGGGATTTGCAACCCACCACTGCTCCAACCCCACACTAGACAGGGCACCTCTTAAAGGTGGCAGACTTCAGCGCTGAGTTCAAATCATGGAAAATATGCAGCAGTTCTAATAACTACTAATAATTCATGCAAATAGGTGTCACAATAGCTTAAACTTCTTTTGTGCAGGCTGGCCTTGTAATAATAGAAATCTTGTCACTTTTATGAACAGGTTTAGAAGGCTTAATGCGGTTAAATCAGAGTAGTAAAAATAGCTACCACTTATTTTAATTGCTCCCTGTGTGTACCAACCTGGGTGAAGGTCTCCAGAACCCCATCTCATTTGACATGCATACATTTTGCTCATGGGTAATTGAGGTTCAAGGTGATAGCAATTCTGATCCTGTTAATCAAATGTTAATTAGTCCACCTGCCACCTTCTTCTTGTTGACTTTCTGAAAATTGAGACAACTTTGCCCTTCTTAGCCCATAAAAGCAGATGAAAAAAAAATCCATCTCCTTTCATCACATTACACGGCACAACATTATAATAGGGTCATAAATTATTCCTGAATAATTTTGCAATGAACATGATAAAGCTTCATTTGCTGTTCTTTTCCTTTACAACCACTAGATGGCACTGATTATGTACAAGAGACCCAAGGCTGGTTGTAGCAGCACTAAAAAAAATAGTTGATACATTCTTGTGTTACCAGGCAGTATGTTTTTGTCTTTTTTATGAGTTAGGGTTGCACTGGATACATCACAATGATATTAACTGGAGAGTCTGGTGTTTGAATTCATCAAAACTTGAAAACCTCAATTCTACCCTCCTGAAAAGTTTCTTTTTCAGGAGGGTGGAATTGAAGTTTTCAAGGTTTTTTTTTTTTAAATGATGCGCTTATTTTAGTCCTTGGGAATAAAGGCACATAAAAATGTGTTGATTTCGGCAATGCATTCTTGGAATGGTGGAGTTCAAATATTCAATTCCGATAATAGTTGACCCCAATGCCAGGTACACATTGAAACGTTTAGTGATAGAGCTGGCAGCATATCATGTACACGGTCTGCTTTTCAACCCCAAGGGGATTTGACTAGACGTTATATTGCAAACAATTTTCTGAGGGTACACAACACCGACAAATAACAAGGCTATAAGGGGAGAGGGATAAAAGTAGATTTTGGCTCTAGAAGCGCGTTAGAGACACGAAACCTAGGAAGCATCCAAATACACAGGAGTATCAGGAGTCAGAAGTGGGTTGCTCCCGGTTTGGTCCAGTTCAGCTGAACCTGTAGTGGAATTCAGGCCTGGGTCGCAGAATTAGCAGTGACCCAGGCCTGCTACGCCCCCGAACCGGTTCCCTCGCCCCTGCTGGGCCACCGCCATTTTGGTTTTTAGTGACTGCTCATGCACAGTTCACTGTAAATTGTTCTGCGCATGCACAAAGAGCAATTTCTATTGAACAGCGTGAGTGCAGTGTGTGTCTGGCACACACAGGTTGTGTGTGGGTTGCGAACCAGTAGTAAAACTGGCAGCAACCCACCCCGTCTGGGGTGTTTAAGTGGTCAAAATATCAAGATGGCAACACCATGGCCTATTAAAATGGGCAAAGCCTCAAACACAACATTATGGCTGTCATCTTGAGGAAGAAGGACTTTTCCCTGACCAGAAAAGAGAGTCACACATTTTTCCATGCACAGAAATTTCTGCCACAGAGGTCAATGGATATTAGTGGGAATGGATAAGCCGGATCTAGGAAGGAGAGAAGGAGAGAGGAGAAGGAGAAGGAGGTTCTCCTCACATTTGACATTCTCCTGTCATGATTTGTCCTGCAGTGAGTTGCCCTGGGTGAACCGACATTGGAGACCCACCAGTAACAACCTGGCAGTGGCAACCCAGCTGTTGTCCCAGCCTGCAGACAGCTTTGGGATAATTGTCCACTGGTTTTCCATTGTCTTGTTTTAAAATAGCTAAGATTTAGTGGGTTGGTATGAGAAATAAAGTATGTGAGTTAAGCCAAAAACAAAGCACCCCTCACCTCCCTGAATGAATACTCACAACGTCCTGTGGTTTTGAATCCGGCGTAGTTGCCATTTTCAGTTTACCGATTCCACTATCTGCAGTAAGTTTTAAATTCCAGTTTCTATAAACCCCAGAGAGCAGATGCTCCAAGTCTGAGCAACAAGACGTTAATAAGCCATATGTGACAAAAAGTAAGATGGCAACTTTGGGGTCTGAATGTGTCTTCTAAACTCTGGGGCATTGGCTGAAAGTGAATAAGGTCAGACGTAACTGAACACAAAACTGAATTGGAGTCTGTTGATTAACATGAGATGGGACCCCTTGATTCTGTCACTCTGAAGGTTAGACTGCACATCTCCCGGAGGTCCAAAAGTGATGTGATTTTTAATTTTAATTAAGGGAACCGGGAAAAAGGGTCTGCACATTTTATCAGTCCTGGGAGATGGGAGTATCTAATTACATTCCCATCCTAGTCACCTTCCTTCTTTCTGAAGGAACTATTTCCAGCTACTCCTAATGTTTAAAAAATGCATCTGTATTTTCCACCCCCTTGTCCATTGTGGTCTACTTAAGATGCAGGTCAGGCTCATAAAATGTTGGGGCTGAGTGTTATGGAGGGATTCAGTTTATTATGCGTTCCATAGTGCTATTGATCACTGATCTCCCTTGCCATGTGTTTTTTTTGGCTGTCAAAGATAAAATGAAAAATTGGAAGCTCTCCTCTGTTCTTGGGATGGGTGATGAATACCAAATTCCTGGCACTGATGCTTGGCCGTGTCCTTTCTGTGGGACTTAGGACCTGTGCCAGTCTGATACCAGAGTCAGCAATGATTTCATCTGGGTCTGCCACAATAGCACCCAACTCAAAATAGCTTTCCACTAAGAGGACGTTTGACCAGAGTGACCTAGAGTGGAGTTGTCAAGTGATAGGTGTCAATCTATAGCCAGCTTATTAAACCAACAGGTCTCTCTGTTCAACCTTCACTCAAGGAAGAACACCCGGGCTGTCTGTATCTCTTCACACTTTTCATTGTTTCTGCTCTTGCAATATTATGGGGCTCAGCGAGCAGGAATGGCAGAAGGTCGTAGACATCTGGGGCAAAGTGGAACCAGATCTCTCTTTGCATGGACAGGAAGTCATCATCAGGTAAGCAGAAATTAGGAACGGAAAACTGAGTACCAACATTCCCGAGAAGCCAGCATGGTGGCACTTTAAGGATCTGCTTGGCATGGGGTTCAGAGGTAGAAGAGAAAGAGATGCAAACTTGCTGATAAGCTGGAAACTATTTTAATTTTGTTATCCTCAATTTTCATTGACTTCTTTATTAGATAAGCCCTTGGAGGGGAAAAAAAGGCTTTCAAAGGAATTTAATCTGTGGCTGAGTGAATTATTATTATTATTATTATTAATAATAATAATAATAATAATAGGGTAAGTGGTTTTACTCCTTGCTGATTGAAAGTGCTCCCCATCCATTTCTGAGTCAGCACAAAACTATGCTAACATAAAACTTGTGCCTCTAGAGCCACATCTTATACTGCTTTTCCTTTTGAGTTCCTGCCAAAAGGTGCTTGGCTGATTTGTGCATCACTCATTATAGGATGCGGTGGCTCAGTGCCTAAGACGCTGAGCTTGTTGATCAGAAAGGTCGGCAGTTTGGTGGTTCGAATCCCTAGCCCTGCTTAATAGAATGAGCTCCTGTTACTTGTCTCAGCTTTTGCCAACCTCACAGTTTGAAAGCACATAAAAAAAGCAAGTAGAAAAATAGGAACCACCTTTGGTGGGAAGGTAACAGCGTTCCATGTGCCTTTGGCATTTAGTCATGCCAGCCACATGACTACGGAGAACATCTTTGGACAGCACTGGCTCTTCGGCTTTGAAACAGAGATGAGCACCGCTCCCTAGAGTCAGGAACGACTAGCACATATGTGAGAGGGGAACCTCTACCTTTACCTTTACATTATAGGCAAGGTGGGAAAACTAACAAATAAGTAACAAATGCCCAATTAACATGATTCTTCTCTGGACAATGCAGTGAAACAAAAATCAGGGTGCCCCATCTAAAGGAAAATATATATTTTAAAATGCCGTTAGTGTAAGTTAACAAACATTAACAATGTTAGGATTATGTTAACAACCGGGCCTCCTCTTTCCCCCCAAATAAAACGCTAGAGCTCTGTTCTGTATCTTCTCCATCTGTTGGGAAACCTGGATAGATGTTGGGGTCGAAAATAAGGAAAATAGTAAAATGAAGGGGATGAAAGGAACTTAGGAAGCGTACAAAATGCTAACAGAGAGAGGAAGACTTGGAAAAGAAAGGATTTTACTTTGAAACTGGCTTGTGATCAGTTTGGAGTGTGCATGGCCATGATTTTCAATATTTGCAAGGCTCACAGCTGCTCAGCTGGCATCACTGTCAGATTCACGAGTGGGTTCATGAAAAATTCATCTTCACACACCTTCATCTTCTGTATAATTTGGAACAGTAGGACCATCACAGATAGGCAATATTTGGGCAATGGCAACAACAGTTGGAGGAAATTGGTAGCAGTGGGGAATAGTACAAAAAGGGTCACTGAAGTTAATACCAGGCCTGTGTGTTTTCTACCATCTGGCTTAAGTAGCAGAAGACAGGGAGAATAGAATAGGATATGAAATATGTTTGTCTTTTCCATTGATGGATGTATCTCAAATCATCAGACCTATCTGATCTTTTATCAGCTCTAAATTTGTCCATGTCGTTGTACATAGTTGACCCATATCAACATTTCATTAGACTATCAACTTGCTTAGTTGCTTTCCATTTGTTGATTTCTCATTTCCGTCTGTTTCCTGAGCCATAAGAAGTTAATATCTGAAATTTAGATATTTAAATATTATTTATAATATGGCTCAGTTATAGTGACAATGCAGCTAACTATCTGCCTAGGAGATCATTATATCATTTTAATAATAAATACTAGAAAGAGAAAAATAGAAGACAGATACATGAGGCCATGTAAAAATTACTAGCATGATACAATGTGTAGGGTACTTTTCCCTAATCTGATTGATCTCCAGACTTCAATACTTCAATACCCTAAACAATAACGTCTGACTAGAACACTTTTTCCAAGTGGCAAGACAGTGTTATGAATACATATCTATGTAGTCTAACATATTTAAACATGATCACTGCTATTGAGTTTGATAGTCTCAAGCATGCCTAACATTATAGCTTTAATCAAAATTATGGGCAAAATTTCCTTCCTTCTGTGATCCATAATCCTATTGAAATTGCCTTTTGAATCTACTTTGTTGAAGTCTGAAACGAAAGATGAGCATTTCTTTTTTTTAATACTCAAGGGGAGAGATAAGTTGCAGGAGAGCCACATAACTATGAATGAGTGTCTAAAAATGGAAATCCCACACTCTTAGGATCTAGTGAAAGGGCAACACTCATAATTCATCAGCTTACTATACCACCTAAGAAATTTTTGTAAACAGGGTCTATAAAAGTATCTAAAATGAGTTTGTAGGCTTAACTGATATACGTGGCTATAGGTGATTGAGGACTCAGCATCACTGACTTGCTTCTTCATGGGTTTCTCTATATAATTGACAGGATGTTCCAGAATCACCCTGAGACTCAAGAGCGCTTTGACAAATTCAAAAATTTCAAGACTCTGGATGAGATGAAGAGTTCAGAAGAACTCAAGAAACATGGAACCACCGTCCTCAGTGCTTTGGGTAAAATCCTGAAACAGAAAGGGTCTCATGAAGTAGAACTAGCACCACTGGCACAGACTCATGCCAACAAGCATAAAATTCCAGTCAAATATTTAGAAGTAAGTATGTACATGATGAGGATGGTGGTGCAGCCATGCCAAAGAGCTAATTATTAAGCAGAAAAGGAAGGGTTTGTATTCCGAGCATGTGTAGGCCTGCTTGCTAAATTTTAGAATGGATATAGGAAGTTTTGGTGAAATAAAGGGGCAATTTAGAAGTATAACATTGACAAAAATAATCTTTCAAGGGAAAGTTTATTTATTTTTCATCAGACCATGACATTACAGGTCTGATAGCATCTTTTTGACCTTGGCTGATTTCCTCAAACAAAACAAGTTCCTGCTGGGTTAACTACTAAATAGATCAGCTTCAGAAAATCTCAGGACAGAAGCTTAGATTGGGAAGTCCAAGAAGAAGGCAGTGACAAATAGTTTCTGCATCATTGCTGTTCAAGAACACTATATGAACATATCCAGTGGTGGGATCCTGCCAGTTTAACAACTGGTTTGGTGATCGCGTGCTTTGCGTGCCTGCATGTGCTCTGCACACGCCTGCACCTGATGCACGTCCCACGTGCCTCAGCAGTTTTAACAAAACTTACTTTCCACGTTACTTCTGGGGCAGTGATGGTTTCACATTTTTTTAGAACCTTTTTTGTAGGTGTGGCCTGCTTTGAGGGAGTGGCTTGCCAACCATGTGACTGGGTGGGCGTGGCCAACTTGTAAAATGTGGTGAAACTCACTTAACAACGCTCTTGCTTAGTATCCAAAATGTTGGTTCAGAAACTCTGGCATTTGAAGCACAAAAGTCTTAAAGCTGTCAAGTTACAAGACCCTCGC